ATCACCGGTATAATAACGGAAAGAAAGGAACTTCAAGATGATGAAAGATCAAGTAAGTAATGATTATCGTTATTTCTATGGGTCATTGCTATTTTGAAAGAATACAAAACATTAATATTTTTATATATAGTACGAGCATTTAAAAATAGATCGAATTTTGGACCGCATTATCTCGCGAAATCACGTTCAACAACTTCTTTGGTAATTAATGAATATATTGATTATGCTCGTCGATGATAATTAATTAATTTTTTAAACTTTTTTTTACAGAGATCGTCATATTATACACAACCATCTCTTTTTTCACCTATAGTAACATCCTCTCTAGCAGCAAACTCGTTTCTTCGTGACGCGGGAGAACGATCGCCAACTGATGTGGTGGAAGATATATTTTCCAACGCAAATATATATGTGCAGGCACCTAATAGTGATAGTGAGGACGACGACGATAAAAAAGAGCAGAAAGAGTGATTATTTAATAGATAGTGATTTCTTTCGCTTCTAATATAAATATTATTACGGTATTATTTATATGATTCATTAGAAAAACACCAAATCGATATACAATGAACAATTGGCTTCTGAGAATTTCTTTTTTTTTTTGCTTTATCGTTTTCATTTGATGGTTCATAAATTAAATTTTTTTATTATAGCATTCATATTTTCATACATTCATACATTCATATATTCATATATTCATATACTCATAAATACGTTAAAAGTAGAAATTGCGTCCATCACAAAATCAAAAAGTCTATAATCATTATCGGTGTCTTTCGATTCATGAGAGAGAGAGAGATATATATATAAATAATCAATAAAAGAAATCATGAAACAATATAATAGTTTATTAAGAATTACTCAATTTTGTTATCATTCAATAAAATTATTTGGATAATATGCAATCAAAAAAAACTTAGTCAGCATGTTCATTCAATATTGAATATGTCACCTAAATAATCTTCTTCCTCTGCTTCTCGCTCTTCCTCGCTCTTATTTGACAGTCCTCTCAGATTTTGATAAAGACAAGCATTAACAATACCAATCGGAATGTCATGTAACTCTGGTACAAAATCATCAGTAATACCGGACAATTGAGATAAATTTTGGCCGACGTTGGCATGATCGTCTAAGAATTGTAAAATTAATTGGAAGATTTTTCATTAACAGCAAATCATTAGACGTACCTGTGACTGTATTGAATGAATCTAATGGCGCGGTGTTTAAAAAGTTAATTGACACGAAAGCGATGTAAATAAATAGGATCAGGACAAAAGTCCAGACGGGTAAAGCCAATGCCCAATATCTATTATTACATGATAATCACGATAAATATAAATTTACAAATTATTTATAAACTTTTTACTTACCTACTCGGATAATAAGTTATCCCTAATGATATCAGAGCCTCGTCGGGTAAATACGCCCATAATAAATAAATAACTGAGACAAGTTAAATTTCTATTAGTTATGGATGCATTGATTCTTCTTACATTATCCTATTAAATAGATGCATACCAAAAGCAATAAACGATGCAAGATAGAGCACAAAGCCATAATACTCGTATGTTGGTGTTTTGGTCAAAGTGGTAGGTGATTCATCACTCTGAAAAAAATTAAAAGCGCTAAGAACGATAATTACATACCGATCAATTCTTTAAACATTCAGATTAAAAAGAAAAATGATTAAATCGAATTTACCCATGAAAACTCGAATTCCGTTCTGAAGTGGAGGTTGAAGAGGATGTCGTGTTTCTCGCACCAAGAAAACTACTATATGATGCTGTTCTTTTTATACTATCGGAAAAATCATAACAAGCAATAAGGAGCTTGGAAAAGAATAACATCAAATCAGGGATTCAAAATAATACATTTTGCTTTATACCCGCTAGGTCGTGACAACCTGGGTAAAAATGGTAAGCTTGAAGAATGTTGTGGTGAGCTTCCTTTTGGAGGAACTATATTTGTAGACGATAAAGTACTATTAAGACTTTGAGGTTGAGGCTCTTGTGAACCAGGGTCTAAAGAGTCCATTGATAGCTCTCAGAGACTGTACACGCGTTATATTATCGTTATACATGTAGAGATTATACATAGTATTTTCTAGCATAAATTTTGACTGGTTATGTAGATCTTTCTTTCACAAACAGGGATTTGCATGATTATCAACAAGAATTAATATTCACCACCCTCTAATATTTTTGTCCAATCCCATTTTTTCCATTTCTTTATAAAATCTTGAACGCGTTGATGATTATCTCGATGATTTAATTTCTTTGGTCGTCGCCAAACATCAGGAGGGAGATCACATATTCCGGCAACTATTTCCTGTGTGTGAAAAGAAAAGGAAAAATTGGTTTTCTTGTCTATTGATTAGACTTTATGCAGTAGTATAAAAAAAAAGTACCTTTCCAAACCAAGTCGGGAATTTTTTGCCATTTTCGATCACATGTCCAAAGCCTTTGTCTAATCCAAACCAGACATGGAAATAAGGCAATTCTTTAACCATAGATTGACGGAATCCTCGTTCTTTGGTCGTGTTTATTAATTTTTTATTCTGAGACCAATCTCCTTCACTTGATAAAATGGCTTCCTAAAAAAAATATTCCCATGGATTTTAGATTAGGATTTATCGAGAGACCCGAAGAAACTTATACTAACCTTAAAGTAAGCGGGTGCATCATCAAGTAACTCTATTGGCATAGGAATACACTCGATAAATGTATGCTTTTGCCATTTTAAATTTATTACTGTCTCCATAAAAATTACACCTCGATTCTCGTCGGCAAACATTTGAATCAAACATTTCATAAAATTCTATAATTGAAATCTTAAAAATTCAGAATTATCCTACAATTAATAATTTAGTTAAATGCTTAGATTTACCCGTATTTCGTCCCAAACATCGTCATCGCAATCTAAAGTTGTCAAACAATGTTCCACAGGCACAATCAAGCAATGACCTTCACACATCTCTTTGACACTGGGTAATGCAAGATATGTTTTTACTCCTAATGAAACCATCGGTGCTTGTGGTAGTGAATTCTCTTTAAGACAATATGCGCATCCCTCAATAATTTGTTTTGATTTCTTGTAATCTTTTTTCATTTCATATACATAGAGAAAAAAAAATAAAAATTAACGTGAAACAAGTATTTATTATATTATATGCACGAATTGCTTCACATGAAAAAATTACCTCTAATAACGAATTCACGTTTTTGTTGTGCAGTTTTATCCGTGGTTTTGGCAATCTTATCAGCTTGCTCGTCCATATATTCCAAGTCATCCTGTATATTAAAAACATCAGTTAATTTCTTGAAATTCGAAAAACTGAATCTGAATATGATTTCTACCTCGAACTTCGAATCCTTGATAATTCTACTGGCTACTTGCGAATCCATACTTTCTCGAAACCCTAATCGTTCTTGACGCACCAAATCTTCTAATGTAAGCTCATCATCATCTTTGTTATATCTAATACGTTGTCCGCGTTCATCATGCGTCTCATACTTGTTATATAATAAAAAAAATTTCGTTGATATAAATTTGCTTTTTCAACGTGAATTCAGAAATGATTTTGTGTGTTGATACACACCTTTTCTTTTTTACGACGTGATGACAATGACTGCTTTGATGTTTCTGCATTCGTTACATTATCGGTGTCATAGATTCGACCACGGCTATCGATCATAGGCAGTATTTCTGTTTTGGACTGCAATAATTGTAAAAGTAGTCATGAGTAATAATAATTCACGAGGAATTTGAAGAATTCTCAAGAAAATCTATGATACACACACTGTTCCTGTTGTCAAATTTTTTTTTCTCCCTTTGAAACTCTTCCTCGAGTGAATCTGCGTCCGGTAGACCTAACATACTTGCACGTAGAGCTTTAGCTTGTAGTTTATTAAGCTCATCTTCCGATAACACTGAATTCGTAGAAATGGGTGCTATGGTAAAAGCGGGTTTTGATGTAGTCTCGGGTTTTGTAGTTCCTTCTGAAGAATAATTGGATCGCGGTCGTTTTTTGGAGGTTTCACTGGCTTGCACGTTGGACCTTTCCTCATTGTCGTAATCTTGTGGTTTTTTGAAAGAAGCAAAACTGAGGGGATTTCGGAAATCCGTAAATACGGTCCTTTGTTCCGGCTTGTCTATCAATGATTCTCTACTCACCGAAGACGAAAAAGCTTTTACCTCTGGCAATAACTCTACATGTTTCTCAACCCACATGGCCTCTTGTGGTACTTCTACAGACTCAGATTCAGACTCGGAATTACTACTACCACTATACTCATGCCGTTCGTCTTTTTCGCGGCGCGTCCTTTTCTTTTCGTGTCTCTTATGATGCTTCTTATGTTTATGTTCCTTGTGTGATTTCTTTCTCTTCGAGTCTCTATCGGATTTCTTTGAGGAAGTTGGATCCATATTTTTTATTTTTGATCTAGTTAGTGTCTATTAAATATGCCAATCACGTGAATTGTCCAATGAACTATTGGTGTCCTTTTTTTGTTAATCATATATACCGTATTTTCGGCAGGGGTGTAATTTCGAATTTCAACCTGAATTAAAACTTTAATGCGGGCCATGATTCGAAATAACGTGTATGAACGTTATTTCGTATTAATTATATATAATTGTAAGTGCACGAAAACTTATATGTTTCTTAGTAAAATGTCGAAAAACAAAATTTTTGGTTCTATCACAACATCATATTACAAATTCATGTTATTAATTGAAAATAATTTTCGACAATTGTACGTACATATTAGTTAAAGATCTACATTAAGGGGTTAATAGGGTTAACAGTGGGTTGATTCAACTGTCACGCAAAAATAAAGGCAAATATAATGATCAATATCATTTACATATTACGTATTATAAAAAATCACAAGAAAAATTATCTTCGCTTCTATAGCAACTACGTGACATTTATAATTAAATATAGTGTTTTTATAATATTATTACTTCCCAAAGACAAGTTTTATTACTTTGTTAATACGCTTTTACAATATTCTGAGAATTCTCAAAAGGATCTTAATATTAAAAATGGCAACCATTTCTTCTGTTGGTATTGAAAGTAGTGAACACTCATATTCTTTAGAGCAAGAAGAGTCAGCAACAAGTATTGGTAATTCCAACTATAGACCTCAAATAATAAAAATGAAATAAATGAAATTCTCAAATATGATTTTTAAGCATTTATAAGTGCAAAAAATACTGCCATATCTGATGAAGAAGATATAAACTGGGATGAAGTTGATTATAATTTTAATTTGGAAATGACATCTTTAGCAAATACAAATATTGAAAAAGAGGAAGAATTAATAATTCCAAGTATTTACAAGAAAACTCACAATTTAATGACTTGTATTATCATCGATCAGATATTACAGATGGTAAAATTAAATGTTGTAAGAATTACGAAGATTAGGTCAATTATTTGGCACATGAGACATCGATGAAATTGCTGTTATGAAGACTAAAAATGCATTATATATGTTAGGTGTTTGCAAAGCTCACTTCATCATAGATCAAAATAAATTACATGAAAGTCTTGTAAAAAAGTGACATTGTCTTTTTTGCAATAAAAACAAAATATTTTTTAGCCAAGGGCAAAATTATATGGAGTATTTATATAAAATATATGAATAAAATATTCAACTTTCCTGTAATATGCTACAAATTTGTCCTGTATTCAATACAAATTCAATAATTGCTTTAAAATCTCAAACAAATGAATGGATATGATATATATATACAGAATATTTTCAAAAAAATAAAGAATATTTGTATATACTACAGGAATCAGGAACTAAAATAAAAACTTGCATAGAAAAAAATGAGTATATCAATAATACTGCAACTACTTTAACAATATTTACATAATAAATTTCAACTATCACAATATCTAATGATAAAATAATAAAAGAAGAATTATTATTAGCTTTGATTCCTGCATTAAATCTCTTTAATAAAAACAAACTGTCATATATATCAAAAAATACTTCAATACCAATCTTATTTCTTATTAAAATAGCAATACAGCTTGGAAAAGTTCAAGATTATAAAATAACAAAAATGACAAATTTGAATTCAATTAAATATTTAGAATTTGATGAATTATTAGATTTAAAAAATATGACACTCACATTCAAGTCTTAAACAAAATTTAAATTGCTTGAAAAATCTGAATTCTTTAAAAGAATATTATAATACTTTTTTTTCATGTCTCTCTAGTTTTTTTATGAGTTTAATTACTAATTTAGAAAAGAAAAAATATTTAATTATTAAACAAAAATGAAAATAATATAATTAATTATCTAAATCTTTTAATAATTTATAAGTTTCTAAAACAATTTGTTTTTTTACTTCAATTATATTTACTGTTACTTTTTGAGATTGGAAATTTGACTTACTCAAATCATGACTTCTTTATATAAAAAATCAAAACTTCTTTTAACTCTTTAAGTAATTATGTATAATATATATTATCTCTTATTTACATCATTATGAGTAATATTTTGAAAAGAAATACATACTAACTATATATTCAGAAGAAAGATTAATACATGGTAATAATATATGAAATCTCACTATTATAAATAATATTAATTTTATAAAACAAATATTTACATATGAAAATATATATGATATAACTCAAAAAAACTCATATACAATACTTTAAATAGTATTTCAATTTTAACTTTCAATATATATTAATATTATATAATTATCTAAAATAAGAAATAATTTATTTGACATATTATTTTATATACAAGAATTTAAAAAGAAATATGATGAATTTAAATATAATATTCCTCTATCAAATATAATTATTCTCAAGACTGAATTATTATCAAACTTAAATAATAATACATTTATATCATGTGATTTATATTTAAATAAGATTGAATTAACTAATAGATTTTTTAAAGTAGCTTGTGATAAAGCTATTTTTAACTATCTCATTACTTACTATAAAAGTTATCTATATATTCATATTCTTTTAGAATAATAATATATAAATAAAAATATGTATATAGTATTGATTATAACTTTTTCAGATTATGAAATCTTTAAAATAGTAGCTATATTAGAAATATATTACTTGAATAAATTAAATAGTATAATGAATTATAAAGCAATCTGTTAAGTACTAGAATTATTTTGAATTACTATTAGAATAATAATTCATCAATATTTAAAATATAATAAATTAATAACAATTAATATTCTTAATAAAATAAATAAAGTTGTAAAAGTATGATACCTTTATTATTATTAGACAGATTTTTGGAAAGGTCATAAAATTAGAATTTAACATAAAAATTTTAAGATATAATTTAAGAATCTTGTTGTATTTTTTCTTTTTTTTTTGTTATAGGAAAATTTAATTATACATGATCAGTAATTTATTTTTTGATATTTGTAAATAATAATTTTTCTTTAAAATAACTTCTTCAACAAGTTTATTTTGTTAATTTAATAAAAAAAATAAATATTTAGCTTTTAATAAAGTATTAAAAATATTTGATATAAAATTTGTAAAATAAATCATTAAAGAAAATCCTATTGATTAGAAAAATCTTATGTTATAAATTTAATCTGCTCAAATAGAAAAAGATCAATTAAATATGTTAATTTCAGAATTTTCAAGTAATCTTATTATTAATTAAAATGATCATATAATAAATAATAAAAAAGAAGTATTTTGATCTCTTACACAATAAATTATTAATATATTTTTACTTGATAATTTCTATAAATATTTATTATTTGAAGATATAAAAGAAATAAATTCTAATAGAATTACAAGAATTTTTCATTTTTATAATATAAGAATTCAATAACTTAACTTAATTTTGAAATAAGATATTTATAAAACATAATTATATAATATTAAAGATTAATAAGCAAGAAATATTATATAATATCCATATGCTAATATTCATAAAGTCAAGAAAATAAAATCTGATATAACTATAAAAAAAGATAATTTATTAATTAATATAATTTAAATGATCAATATACAAAAACTTGATAAATCAAATAAATTAAATTTAATAATATCTACTATAATATAACAAAAGCATATCAAAAGAGAAATAATACAAGTAAAAAAATTAATACTTATCACAATACTTAAAGATTCATTATCTAATAATTAAATAAAAAAAATATTAATTGAACTAAATCAAATTTCATTAGATTAAATTCTAGATAGAATTAAATAATATCAAAAAAATAACAAATCAAATTACAAATATAAAATTAATAATTAAAAAGATATTAATATATATATAATTAACTTCTATTAATTCATTTCTCTTTAATTCAAATTTCTGATAATCCAGATATTTAATGTTAGACTCTTTTTTTTATATCTAATTTCTTCCTTTTATTCATCTGATACTTATAATATTATGATAATTCAGTTCAGATAACTATCACAGATTAACTATATAAATTAAGTACTATAAAAGACAGCTTTAATTTGGCTATTAACTATCATTCCTATATATGATAAACTAGAATTTCTAATATAATAAAATTATTCTAATATTAATTCAGATGCTTATTTAAATTCATTCTCTTTAATTTGAACTCTTAATAAAATCTAACCATTTAAATTACAAATAAGTTTAATGAATTATCACAGAAGTAATATTGTTAAAAAATATTTCAAATTATATATTTATTTAATTGTCATATAAAAGAAAGAAATATATTAAAATTAAAGAAATAATCCTAATATATCCTATCATAATATAATAAATAAGTATGAAATAAAAAAATTAATAATACAAGATATTATTTTTCAGTTAAAAAAATAATTGGTTATTAATATTAATGAGATATCTATATACTATCTGAAAAATAAATCTCCAAAATGGCCAAACTTAAAATAAGTATTATAATTATAGATGATGATGATAATTAAAAATAATTTTTTATTAATAAGAGAAGCTATCATTACTAAAGCTCATATTTATACAAATCATTTAGGGATAAAGGATTTTAAAAGAAGTGATAGTTGATTGATCAAATATAAAAAATAGTATAATTTGCATAATAATATATAATATAGTGAATTGGCTAATGTACCCTTTGCAGAATTTATCAATAATAAAAGAACATATCTCCATACTAAATTGGTATCATATAATCTAGATAATATATATAATGCTGATAAGACAAGACTTTTTTAAATTATAAAATTTTCAAGAACTTTATTTAATCATGAGATTAATAGTTATAAAAAAAATAAAAGTAAAGTTTCCATTCTATTAATAATAAATACTTCTGGTACTGATAAGTTACTATCAGTATTTATATATAAATATCAAACTTCTTTTTCTCTCTATCATATGAATAAAGTCTTACTTCTAATACAATATTATTAGAATAGTAAAGCACATATACAA